ATCAAATGTTGGCATTTTTGGTCCTGGATTAATATTTAATATTAAATGTCTCTCCCTACAATTTTTATTATTTCTCTAAATTTGGTTTCACTTTTCCCACTGGCAATAATTTCTTTATAAATAAGTCATATTTACATATACATATAAAACATGCTATTTTACAAGGACACTTTTAACATATTTGTATTTAATTAAAATATTTTAAATAGAATAAACTTGATTTCTGTAACTGGTGTACTTCAAGAGTTCTATAATATCGATATATATTTAGTGAATAATCTAAAATCAGAAGAAACAGTCTGATCAGTATTATGAAAACAAGAACATTTTCAGTATAAGTGGGTGTCTATATATGATAAGGACAAGGAATATCATCAAGTTTATTCATATTATAGAGTAGTCCAATGGAAGTTAAATGAATAACAAAGTTAAATTTAAGAGATACTAGAATTCGTTACCATGGTGTATAGAACTGAGCATTCTCGGTTGCCAAGCAGCTGCTCTAGAATGATACCATTATCAATGATTAAAGGAAAGGGGAGTTATATTTCTATTGTGCAAGATCTGAAACAAAAATATCTCTAACATGATGGTAAGATATGTGGTATGAATATAGATATAGTTAGAAAGTATAAGGAGAGTCATTAAATCGTTGGCTTGTGAGTCCTTCGCAAAGGGATCTGTAATAAAAAGTGCACAATATTTGTGAACATTTAAATACATATGCATTGGGTGAAAAACACACTTGGTTCAAATTTAGCTCATTTAATGACTTTGAGAGCACAAAACTGGTTTAATGGATTTAAACTCATTTTGGCAAATAGTGAATTAGAGCATAAATGAGTGAAAAATAATAGTAATTAGGATAGAGAAATTAATGAACTTGATAAAATTAACCATAATTGTAATATGAAAATCTTATAAAATATGATACATAAGAGTATACTTTAAAACTACAGCAGAAGTTTGATGATGTTTTGGTGTATCAGAAAGGTATATCTCTGGAGTCATTATAAAAACTGATGTATTGAAGGTTGATTTGTATATATATATATATATTATGTGTACATATATATACCAAATTGTGGCTTGTTTCATTTTTTCAATAAACTGAGAGCTAAGGCCTCCTGAGTTTAATTGGTGCTTTTATATTGGCTATGTACAATGTTACTATTAGTACAATGTTACTATTGATAAATCCCTGATTTCTATCACAACAAGAATGTGTCAGAAGATATAAAGAGAACCTCTTAACCTCTTTTGTTCACTTATTTTTGAAAATGCTTGTTTTCAAATTTCTGTTTTCTTCTTGTAGGCTTTGATAACTGTTAACATTTCTTCCCCTTTAGCACTAATAGATAGTGTATACAGGTGGCACCATAACTTAGCATTTTAATGACCATTTTACACTTGAACATGAACTGGGGCCCCCTGCCATTCTCTGAATAACAGACACCATCCCTTACTTAACCATTTAATAAATATGTGATAAGTGAAAAATTCTTGGAAAAATTATAATTTGAATTATCATTATTAAAATTCAGTAATAATATTCTGTGAAAATGCAAATGTAATGATCTGCTTTGTTGAGGATTTTAAATTCAATCAGAAAATTAACATTCAATGTGAAGCAACTTCTGAAAATTTCTAAGGCAAATATTTTTAAGTGTTATAACCTTTGTGAATAGCAACCAAACTATCACATCAGAAGTAGTACTATACACTCTTTACACACTTTGAATAAAATTTAAAATCTCTATTTTAACTTTTTTATTTTATAAGGTGATTTACAATATTTGATTACAGTTAAAATTCAACCACCAATCCCACCACCATTATACCTTCCCACCACCAAATTTGGGATGTTTCTATTACAAGCCCCAATCCCTGTCCCAAAGCACAACTTGAATAATATGTTTTGTATTGTTTGTTATGGAAAACTGTCTTATGATGTGTCTAAGGACAAGGAATATATTCAATAGTACATGAGGCTCGGCCTGAGTGTTTGGGGAACAACAGCCTTGAGCATGTCGGCGGTTGGGTTCTGGAGGTTTTTGGCTGCTGAGACTGGGTCCCCTGGGGCAGGGAGGGCTCTCACTCATCCCCCTTTGGGGCACCCCACATGAAACAGCCTGGCTCAGAGTCCGGTGGCATGGCTATGGCAGGCATCATGTTGCTCCATTCCAGGAGAAAAAGTTGTGTGATCTGGATGGTAGCAGATGAGGAGATTATCTGGCACCAGCAGGAAGTGGTTTATGGGCATGACCCCTGGGTCGCCAGAGACTGGGGGAAAACAGGCAGAGGATCTCCGCTCCCGGTCCTGTTGAGCCCAGAGTCTAAGGTCACAAAGTTCTGCATTACCTGGGTTTTGTCAGACTTCACTTATGTGTGAGTCTCGGCCAAGCCTGTGGGGAACGGCCTTCAGCATGGCGGTGGTTGAGTTGTGGAGGTTTTCGGCTACTGGAGCTGGGTCTTTTGGGGCAGGGAGGGCTCTCACTTACTCTCTTCTGGGGCACCCCGTTTAATTCCTTTTATAAGTAGTATTGGTACATTGATATAGAATAACCAACATAGATATAAAAGTTTAATTTATTCTGCTTTGTGGAGTTGTCAATAGTATATGAAGTAATTGAGATAGAAGTAGCCTATAGGGTAGAGGTGACAGAATTTAGAACACTGGGGGCACACAATGAAAATGTTAATATTTCTTATATTTGAATAGCATTTATTTAAATAATAAAATATACTAGGGCTGGAGAGATAATAGAGCAGCTAGGCACTTGCCTTGCATCTAGCCACACAAGTTTAACCCCTTGCATCACATATGGTCCACTGAGCACCATCAAAGACTGACTCCTGAGTGTAAACTAGAGGTTTCCCCTGAGCATCATCAGTTTGGCCCCAAAACGAACAAATAAAATGATTAAAATTTATAGTTAATATTTTTAAGAGTTACTGTGTTCAGGGTGATTATAACTTATAGGTCATAGCCATAGGCAAATTATTACATACCTCTGAAGATGTACTTTGAAGTCGAAACTTAAGTTTGGATACATTTATTTGTTACATAATTATTAGCATATCTTGTGGTAACACAAGATAAGAGTAAAATCATATTAATGGTGGATGGATAACACATTGACTAACAATGTTCAGATTCTTTAAAGGCCTTGCAGGCTTTTTTCGTGTTTGTGCAACATTAAGAAAGATATGAAAACAGAAGATTACTGCTATTACTGCTATTGTTTTGAATTTTTTGCTTAAGAAGTAGCTGTATAAATATAAGCAAGTTAAAGCCAAACCAGATATCAATCAGGACAGAATATGTACTTTCTAACTAAGGACAGTTTTCTTTGCCGAGCTTCACGCTAGATGTAATAGAACTAAGCAATAACAAGAAGTTCTCCTTGAAGAAGTATGAGGAAATTGCTGCATTTTCTAACTAAAACAGGAACTATACAAGACATAGGAAAATTTACAGACACAAGAGAGAAGGAAAATCAAATCATTAAAAAAAGGGGATCAGAGCTGTAATAGGGGACAGGACATTAGCCTTGCATGTGGCTCCCTCAGACCTAATTCTTGAAGGTTGAATTTCAACGGAAACCTGGTTCTGAATGGTTGGACTCCGGCAAGGGGCACAGAGGTGATATTGGGGTATCAGAAAGTCTAAAGGCACCATGAGGCTTCGATGCACTCACACGTGTGGGTCCAGTTTGACCTTCTGGCAGAATCGTGTCTCTTGGGACCCACTGGTGAACACAGCAGTAGCCCCAGAAGGTACAGAACCTGGGTCAGGGCTTCCACTCAAGCCGTGGTGCTCTGGGTGGGATGTAACCTCAGACCAGCAGAGCCTCACCAGGGACCTCCTTGCCTTTGGTGAATCACTGGGGCCCCATGGTGGGAATCCAATGCATGACCTCCACTTGGGGACCCATTCTCCAGAGTGCGAAGTGGGACCTGGAGAACAACTGCTCAGACAGCTTCAAACCCAGCTGTCCCGACAGCACCCAAAGCTAATGATAGTCATACCACCACCCTCCTCACTGTTTCCCATTCTGGACCAGCTCTCCACAGCGGGTGACAGGCCAGGATCATTAACACACTCTCCCTGAGGTAGAGCATCCAAGGGGGCACCCCACTCACTCACACAGAAATTTTATGAGCCCATGAGCTGTCCAGAGCACTTCAATGTGCCAGCTTCCCCCAGTGTTGGCACACCACTTGATTAAAACTTTACTAAATAGATATTCTTAATACAGCAAAAGGGCTGGAGCGATAGCACGGTGGTAGAGCGTTTGCCTTGCGCAGCCACCCCAGTCGAGCCTGGTTCGATTCCTCCACCCCTCTCAGAAAGCCCTACAAGCTACAGAGAGTATCCCACCCAAATGGCAAAGCCTGGCAAGCTACCCATGATGTATTCGGTAATGCCAAACACAGTAGCAAGTCTCACAATGGAGATGTTACTGGGCCCGCTTGAGCAAATCAATGAACAACGGGAGGATAGGATAGGACAATACAGCAAATTCATTTTACTTTATCTACAATGCTTAATGCATTTGACAAATATATTTTAATCACATAGTCAATGGTCTATATAGGGAACAGTATAATGGACCCTAGGTATCTAGATTGACATTTTAATGTTCACCATGCCTCACTTTGACTCATCATACTTTAGAGTAGTCAGATGCAGATTTATGTTTTATTTCTTGAGCAAACACAAATCCAATTTATCCATAATTTAGCTTCCTTTTTCACCCTGTCCTGTGAATAGTTCATATTTTAGTCTCTATTTCTTTTTTTTCCCTTTAGTACTAGTGACTTGATGGTTTGACACCATAAGAAGACTCATTTTTCAAGAGCGGAACTGTGTAGAAGCAGCTCAGGAGGAAAAAATTCAGCAGAAATCCTTCCAGCCCTTTGTTTCACTGCTATCACCAGTAAATCTTCAGGAGGGCTCCATAGTGGTCATAGATAAAACAGTGGTGTGAGTGAGGATGCAACTCCTGCTGTTCTTGCTGAAGCTGTTTCTCTTTCTGGGCAGATGGCCCCCGACTGTACACTCTCAAAGTCAAGGTCCCCCAGAAGTAACGATTCCCTTGAAGATCACAGTCTCTGACAGAGGCATAAGGTCTTCAGAATGGATCTCTTACAGCCTGAAGTTTGAGGGTCAGAGTCATATTGTTCATATGAAGATCATCAAGCACTTGATGGCTAGGCACATGCCAGTGTTCACCTACACAGACCAGGGATCTCTCCGTGAGGACCATCCTTTCATCCAGAATAACTGCTACTATAATGGCTATATGGATGGAGACCCAATGTCCCAGGTTTCCATAAATAGTTGTTTTGGAGGCTTTCAAGGAATTTTACAGAAAAATAAAACTATATATAAAATTGAGCCAAAAATGCAATCAACCACTTTTGAACATCTGATATATAAGGTGGATGACATGCACAAAGAGTTTCCAGTCAGGATATGTGATTTTAAAGACAACAATTTTCAAAAACAAATGCAGTTAAAGGAGAATAATGATTTGTCTACTTCAAAGCAGAGTGGATACAAAGTCTGGTGGACCCATAAGCGATATTTTACAGAGGGCTTTGTAGTCTCACATGATCTGTTTGAATTTTTTGAACATAATGTCTCAGACACAATAAGTAAAATTTTCTACATGAACATAATTATAACTAACATTTTTAAGGCAATTGATATGAAACCTATTATAATGGGAATAGAAATCTGGACTGAAAAAAATTTGTTTATTGCATTTACTAATTATGAATCCGTTTATAAATTCTGTGAATGGAAGAGAAGGACTTTTACTCTACGCATTTTCCATAATACTGCCTTTTTCCTTCTCCACCATGATCATGGAAAGTCATACGGCACAGCTTTCAGGAAGAAACATTGTTCTCTGGAAGATAACTGTTCCACTATTAATTACCGATCTGAAGATAATCTGCACGGCATTGCATTTGTAATATCACATCAGATAGGCCATATTCTGGGTTTTGATCATGATGAATTTAATGATGACTATTGTTATTGTAATGACGATTTTTGTCTTATGAATGCACATTCCAGACTGGCAAATAGAATCAGCAACTGCAGCTATAGTAAGTTTTTTACTATCAGAGGGGAATGTTTCTTTGTTCCACCACCTCCACAGTATTTCTACAAAGAGGAACGCTGTGGAAATGGTATGCTTGAAGAAGGAGAAGACTGTGACTGTGGCACCATTCAGGAATGTGAAAATGATCCATGCTGTGAGGCAAACTGCACGCTTACACTTGGGGCTGTTTGTGCTTTTGGGCTTTGCTGCAAGGACTGCAAGATTTCGCCAGCAGGTACATTGTGTAGGGCAAAAGAAAATGAATGTGATCTTCCAGAGTGGTGCAGTGGGGAAACCTCTCAGTGTCCAGAGGATGTGTATGTGCAGGGTGGGATCCCATGCAAGGGTGGTGGATACTGTTATGAAAAGAGATGCAACAACCGTGAAGAACAGTGTAAACAGATTTTTGGTGACCAGGCTAAGAGTGCAGATCTCAGTTGTTACACAGAAACAAATATCCGAGGTGATCGCTTTGGTAATTGTGGTATGGAGAGTGTGAGGTATACACAGTGCCATATCACGGATTCTCTGTGTGGAAGGATTCAGTGTGAGCTTGTGGAAGAAATTCCCTATCTGAAAAATCATACTGCCTTTATTATAACAGATATTAGTGGCTTCAGCTGTTGGAGTACTGACTTCCATGCAGGTATGACTGAACCTGATCTTGCTGAAGTGAAAGATGGTACTGAATGTGGTGAAAATCATTTTTGTGTTGATAGACACTGTGTCCCTAAATCATACTTCACAAAACGTTGTTCACCTGTAAAATGCAACATGCACGGAATTTGCAACAATAAAAATAACTGCCACTGCGATCCTGCATGGCGCCCACCTTTTTGCTATGATGAAGGAGTGGGAGGGAGTCTTAACAGTGGTCCAGCACCTGAAAATATTTCTCATGATCATGAAGAATTTTCTGAGTATGAAGAACCAGTACACACGCACATTTGTCTTTTTCTTCTGTTGTTGCGTTTCTTTCTATTTCTGTTGACTTTGTTTTTTATAGTGCTAAAATCATAAAAGGAGAATGTCTCAACTTTTCCTAATGAACAAGAACAAAGTGTTTCAACTGGATCTTAGAAAGAACAACTAAGAGTTATGATTAAAAACTCTAAACATTAATGTCAATTTTATGTATTTTATCTCCCGCCACAATATGTTATTCATGTGCCAGAGATGACTGGAAAAAAAATCCTTGATTCACTAATATTAGGAATCGTAAATGTTAGTCACTGTTTTACATCTTCCAGGGCTGAGAAGTCAAGTTGCACAAACACAACTGAATGTCTTCACTGACCATGAAGTATTACACATGCAGAGTAAAATTTATCCAAAATGTGTTTAAAACACATCATAGAGCACACTCAAAGATTAGATTTAGGTGACCTGTTTCTCAGTCTGACAGATGACAGAGTAAAATTTATCTAGAGAAGGATACTGTAGCTCCTCTGGCAGTTTGACACATTATTTTCTTCATATTATAACTCTTGACATTTTGGTTGATTCCATGTTTATTGCATATTATCTAAGTGAAGAAGAAAGTCAGAAAAACAAGGTGAAATTATAAGTAGAATAGAGATCCTTCATATATTAAACGATATAAAATATCAAACAGCGTTTTAAAATAGAAGAAAAATTCATAAAAGATAAGAAATAGCATAGAACGTCCACTGAATTTGGAATTAAAAAGTAAAGTTAACTGAATATCTTAGGTCCAATAATCATGAAATCAGCATGAGTTCTGAAAGATAAATAGGCAACCTGATTGAATGCCTGGCACAACCTATGATACCCCACGCAATCCCTGAGCACAACTGAGTGTGGCCAAAAAACAAATAAGAAGGAAAGAAAAACATTAGTATTTTTGGCATAGAAATTTGGCATTTGAGGTTTCAATATTATTCATTTGTAAGAAAAGAATAAAAAGTTTGCAGAATGTCACATGATTTTACCATAAAAATGAAATATTAGGAAATCCATATACTATATTAAAATGTTTACAGATAATATTGGAATCAGAGAATGTATAAAATGGAGAAGTGAATAAAAATATTATTCAGTGGCATGATTGCCAGTATTTTTAGAAGGAGGTTAAAAAAACGTCAAACATTTCTTTTTGCTAGTTTAATTTTGTCTCACAGAAAAGGTTTCCCTGTTTCATTTTCTCCTAAACATGGAATCTATAATAAATTATTCAGGGGCTTGATTATTTTCCTCCTGCTGTATAAATATTTAGCTAATTAAATTTTTTGGATATGGGGGTAGAAATTATACATCAGGAAGGACCTTGTGTCAATAAACCCTAAACACTGCCAGATGTGGCCCCCAAACCAAAATTTTAAAAAACTTATAATAGTTTTTTTCATTTATTATGACTTTCTGTTTAATTTTGTAGTTTTCACTATACATTTCTATATAGATTCAAAAATATATAAAAATATCATTTAACTTTCATTTTATTTTACTTATTTCAAGTAAGCATTTATTAATATTCAAAATGGGTTTTTACTGTGGGCAAGTGTATTTTGTTTTCTTTAGTTGATAACTGTTTATTTTATCTTTGGTCAGTAGTTGAGCTTACCTCCTTGAGTTCATTTAGGCTTCATTCATGAAAAAATTTGATTCAGGACTAGAGATGTGGGAAGTCTGACACATTCCTTGCTCTGATAAACTGGGTACAACATAGCACATGTATAAAGCATTCAAGGTAAAAGAGTATAATTGGGAAGATGTTATAACATATAATTTTGCTAGGCATGCCAATTTTTATGATTTTTCAAAATTTTGTAGAGGGCTTTCCAAATAGAGATTGAGGACCCACGTGACACTCCTGATGAAATAGTCTGTAGGTTTGTTGTCAGGGTCAAAGGTCACAGTATCATTCAGGCCCTATAGTACTCTGAGATCACACACAGCAATGCTCAGGGCCCTCTAGGCTTACACCTGAAATACACAGCAAATAAGTTCCAGGAATTAAACTCGCCCGAAACTATGTTCCTTTGGCCTATATAAGAAACTTTTTTAAGCACTGTAGCACTGTCCACCCGTTGTTCATCGATTTGCTCGAGCGGGCCCAGTAATGTCTCCATTATGAGACTTGTTACTGTGTTTGGAATATCGAATACGTCACAGGATGCTGGCGAGATACTCTAGGTAGCTTGCCGGGCTCTCTAGGAGGGGCGGAGGAATTGAACACAGCTCGGCTGGGCCGGCCGTGTGCAAGGCAAATGCCCTATTGCTGTGCTATCACTCCAGCCCAGCCCAGAAACTTTTTTAGCTTTTAATGTTGATGAAAGATATCATTGCCTATTACTTTTACAAGAAGTTATACTTCATTAAATTACTCTCAGAAATAACATTCTCTTTTTATAAAGTTGTTCACAATAATTCATTACATTCAATATTTCAACACCAATCCCACCACCATTACACCTTCCCACAACTATTATTTCAAATTTTCCCACCACCCAAGCCTGTCCCAAAGGCAGGTGTTAAATAAATTATTTTGTATTGCTTGTTATAAATAATCCACTACAAATGATCAAAAAGGTTTCCTTAGAGGAAAATGTGTGAAAATTGAGTCATTAAGCCCCCTTATAACATCAATATATACATATGTATACATATATTGTTTTATATATGTCATATATATATTATTAGCCCCCCCTCAGACATGGTATGCTACTCTTGGTTTATCAGTGGCATAAAGAAATTTTAAAATTTTAAATAGGGCGCTAGAGCTGTAGTTAAATTTTTATCTGATGGTGATTTTGGAGTCCAGAAACATCTCTGCAGTGTGCTGTTCTCTTCCAAGATTTATTTTTGAGTCTCTTGACTCGAAAATCATGGCTGTCAATGAGCTTATATGGCACCCATATAGACTTGACTGCCAGGCGTCTAGACAGAAGCACAGCGAAATGGGAGGAGGGGGCCCTTTCCCAACTCCATGCTAGCCAGGAGGTGTCCATCACAAAATCCACATATGTGGGTTTTTCAGCAGATTCTTTCTCACGCATAAGGGGTTCATCTCAAGTTTCTGAAGATAAGTTATGAGCACATAACTGGAGTTTGCGGCTGCTGGGTTTCTGTTGGGGCAGGTGGAGCAACTCACCCACCTCCCTCTGAGATTCCCCAGATGAAGTCAGCCTAGTATGAGGTGAGGCAGCATCTCTGAGGCATGTTGCTCTCTTAGAAAAGACATTCTTGATACTGATATTCAGCATGATTAACTTTTAGATACTTATAGCTCAGTTACGTAATTAAAAATTTGTCAGAAATTAACAATAGATGCGAAACAGATTTGGAATACTTGTGTCCAAGTATGTATCTACTAAGAAAAGAGATATTTTATAATAATATTTTGTTAGTGAAGCCAAGAAGTTTTTATTGACGGATACTTTCTTAGAAAAAACTGAGAGAGAAAGAGGGGAAATGTGTTTTCAACAGAGAGTGCAGGCTACTACAGTGGAAATAAGCAAGCAAAAAAATATATAAATAAGCAAGTGAAATACATGTTCAAGGAGAGAACATGGGCTTGAAGAACAAGCCAAATATTTAGTAACATTCCTATTCTCTGATTTATGAAGATGCTCGCCTGTAATCACAAATGAATATTTTGGTGGAACCCCTCCAGCTAATTTCCTGAGACCCGAGAACCATTTTTTGTGATGCTTAACATGGTTATGCATGGTTCAAAGATCTTGGGTAACAGTGAAGTGTAGCAAATCAATGAGTAACGGGATGTCAAGTGATCAAGTGATCAAGTAGTTATTATTAGGACACACCTAGACGTTTTCCCAGTTTGCTCCTGGCTCTGGAGTCAGATATTCAACTGGAGATCAGCCACATGCAAGGCAATTGTCTTAATTCCTATACTGTTTAATTGATTACTCATAATAATCAAAAGAAAAGTGTTTAAATTCAAGTGCTACATATTCCCCACCCCAACACTGCCAGGAATCAATCCCTGTGCCCAAGGCCAGAAGCAATCCCTATGAATCATGAATGTGCTTCCCCTAAACAACAAAAGAGGGAGTTTTTTTTAAAAAAAAGGTGGGAGTTATGAATTATTTTCCTCTTTGTCATTGAGACTTAATATCTGCAAAAAGAGGGAGCATGCTCCCATGGGACCCCCAAAATTGATAGGAACATGAACCAACCATAATGGAGTGCCATTGAGACACATCTACCTCACAGGTTTGGAATACCATTAAGCCTGCTCCACCGTAATAGACTCGCTTTGTCACCAGGAGGCGTCTACTGCTCCAATGGTGCGCTGAAACCAATAAGCAGCAAGCCTGCTGGAAGCAGAATGTGTTAGCCCACTCACAGTTTGTATGGGGGCCATTGAGTGTTCTAAAGACAGAGAAATTACAGAAAGCGGTCCCCAGAACTATAAGAAGCTGAAGTTCCACTCTGCACACTATGCAGCGCTTTCATCACTTCCTTCCCCCCAAATCTGTGCACACTCTACCGCAAAGATATCACCCTTCTACAGTAGAGTCTCCAGTTAAGTAAGAAGTCAGAGCCCTGGACCACATATATGATTCAGTCCTCACCAGAAGCAATAACAAATTCAAAAGAATCAACTGCATCATTAGAAGGAGGCACAATTCCAGGAAGATCTCCAACAGAAGAGCTGTTAAAATTTTCTTAAGAATCTTGAAATTAGTCCGTTTTCATTTGTTTTGCCAAATACAATGAAGAAATAAAGGACGTAACAATTCTCACTCAGACACATACTGTCTAAAAGTTTCTAATTCTGCATAACTAAAGTTCTGCTGCTTAACATTATTCTCTTCTAAATCTTCTTTTAAGTAAATGTAAGTCTCAAGACTATCAGGGGAAAGCTTGAATTAAATGTATGTTTGAAATAGTAAGACTCTTATTGCAAATATAATAGATTATAGAGACAAAATTAAAATAAAGAGAAG